TCTGCAGCTATATTAGTAGTATAGTTGTGGCACGAATGGGTCGGCTCGACCGGGAAAGGACCACGCTCTCACAGAATATCGGCGTAAAATAGCAGCTTAACACTGCTGTGTTTCGTATGGTGAGTGTAGAGAACCGGAGACCCTTTTTACTGGAAAAGAGGCATTCCATCTTAGTCCTCACGGGTGACAACGCATCTGCATTTTGATTCGCAAACGAGGATAGATGTAGATGTATATGGGCCACAGCAACCACTTACCATCAGATGGACTGTGTGCTCGTTTGTCACCCTATCCTATAAAAAAAAATACTGACAGTAAGCTTGTCACCGCTGAAGGGACTGCAGCACGGCCCAAACTTTGACGAAAGTTTCCTAACGATGTTTTTATTCATCGCCTTCACCGCATAGTGGTAAATCAGCGCATTGAAAATTTCATTGGTTCCTGGTTTTACTGTGAAATTTATGTCTAACGCTTAGCCTTTGACTAACTTCCAGACCCAGAGCAATTTATTTGTAGACCATACTAAGAACTTTTAACACCTCAATAATTGAAATAATCCAGCGCAGAACGGTTCAAATCGTCGACGATCGAGTTCTTTCCGATCGGCTTGATTCACTGGCACTGCGTAGAGATGTTGCATCTCTTTGCATATTTTATCACGGGGAGTGCTCTGAGGAATTGTTCGGACTAATTCCCGCTGCTCAATTTCCATCCCACATCGCGACAAAACTCGCGATACCATCCATACCATCTGGATGACTGGCGGTCCATCACTAGAATAAAATAGAACAGAATAGAATAGAATGATTTTTATTCGATACTGATTACTACATAATACTTATTGAAAGTCATTTTTTTATTTACCACTTACTGTGCGATTGAGAATAGGTTTTTTTCCTCGCACAACTTCCTTGTGGAATCGATTACCACCAGCGATTTATCCGGACCGATACGACTTAGGGACCTTCAAGAAAAGAGCCTACTCCTTTTTAAAAGGCCGGCAACGCATCTGCAATTCCCCTGGTGTTGCAGTTGTTCATGGGCGGCGGTAGTTACTTACCATCAGGTGAGCGGCATGCTCGTTTGCCCCTCTCCTATAAAAAAAATTAGGCCGTTGAACATCTTAATCATTTCGTGATCATGGATGTTGTAAAGCACTTGAAACGTCGGAGAAATTTAAAGAGTGCATTAAATAAAACGCTACAAAATTTGTATAATTTGTTTTATTCAATGTCTTTCATTAATATTGTTGCGCGTCACTATTAATGTCTTGTACATGGCAAGACTAGTTACTACTAGCGCCCTCTAGTGTCGAGTAGCAGAACTAGGACAGTCAAGATCCTTCTAGAAATATCGGACCAATATGTACTCGAACATTCTAGATGTTTCTATAGTAGAAGGTTCTGGAAACTACCTGAGGCCCTATATAAGTCCAGTATAGACCGCGACCGAGTCAGTATTGAATTGGCGATATAAGCGAATACTTCGAAGCGAAATAACTAAAGTGATCAGTAGTACAATTATTAGTGTGGTTTTAGATTGTAATTAGTATTCTGTAATTAAAGTGTCAATTTTGGTAATTCAATCGGCAGTTTTTAATTGTCTCGAACCCCAAGCTCGTAACAATTGGTGTCAGAAGTGGGATCAAATATGCCGATTTTACCTAAACACGACAAGGACGACGGACCAGAGACGATTTGGTGGTGCAACGTCGCAGACGTCGGAGGGCAAGCTGCCGACCACGGAGGCCGGCCCGTCAGCAGCTCCTGCATCTGCCGCACCTGACTTAGGTGCTTTGATGATGATACTGCAGGAGCAGGCCCGACGACAGAAGGAACGGGCCCGTCGGTTGGAAGAGCAGCTGCAGCGCGGTATTGAAGAGCAGATGCTCCTCAGGAAGGACCTCCACGCTACCTTCGGGAAAGTGATAAGGGAGGTGAAGGATAGGATTGCTCAACATGACAACCGCCTGTCGGAAGCTGAAACCCGAATCGACCAAGTGAACAATCGGGTTGGCAACGTGATGGCTGACGTGAAGGAAACGCTGGACGACCTCAAACTTGGGGATGAAATTACAGCTCCCGTGGTAGCTACAACACCTTCGCTACGTAGATTCAAAGTGCCACCGTTTGACGGAACTTCTTCCTGGTCGGCTTACAAAATCCAGTTAGAGGCTGTCATGAAGACCAACGGCTAGAATAAAAGTCAGGCCATGACTGCTCTCACCCTAGGCCTGCGCGACCAGGCCTTAACTGTTCTGGAAGCTCTCGGTAAGGAAGTGACTTACGAGCAGCTCCTTGAGCCATTGGAGGCGAGATATGGCGACACTCACCTGGAACACGTCTTTCGTGCGCAGCTCAAAGATCGCGTGCAACGCAGCAACGAAAAGCTTTCATAAGCTGACTTTTCATCTATACAACGCGTTTTGCAAAAATACCTATTTCTAACAGTGAAGAGCTACAGGTGGATGATGAAAGTAATTTTATAACCAATGCACGATATAATAAAGCTGATCACTCCAAAACATTTATTTAGCTTATTTTAATAGACAATTTATTTTTTGTATAAGTATATCAGATTAGAAAATATATATACGCACAAATATGATCATAGTATTATTCTTTACTAGTGAATATTCTGCGCGTAGGGATTTTTGTATTTCGCACTTATACGGAAAAATATTGAAGTCTAATTAGCACTTCATAGTATTTTTTTCCATTGCACGTAATAATATTATCTAAGACCGTGTGGTGGCACAAGATGAGCCTTCGACATTATCTCTATCATCTCAGTTGAGGTGGAGAAGCTGGTTCGAAAAGCATACCAGTCTGTACCTGCGCTCATTGTAGGGAACCTGGGACATTCATCGACGGCATCCGCGACCTTGAAGTCAGAGCTGCTGTGAGGCTCGGGCACCACGAGACGCTTAAGGACGCGTTGGCCCATACACTGGAGGTGGAAGCCGTGCGGCAGGATCATCGTTCCTATCGCGTCAGGGAAGTTGCAGCGGCTACAGTTCGCGATCGCAATAAAGGATACAGCCCTAGGTGCTACGGCTGTGGGGAAAGGGGCCATCTTCGATCCAGTTGCCTTAAACGAACTGTAGAAAGGCAAGGTGATCGATCTCGAGAGGGTAGTGTGGCTAACAGCACCGCCCAGCAGCAGCAGGGAAACTGGCGGGTGCTGACTGATGTTAGAAGAGGTACACCTAAGATTGTCCATGTGGATCGACTGGCGCGTTATTATGGGGCCAATAATGCTAGGGACGAGCATATCTTAGGAGGGAGCAGTGTTGCGCGCCACTATTAATGTCTTGTACATGGCAAGACTAGTTACTACTAGCGCCCTCTAGTGTCGAGTAGCAGAACTAGGACAGTCAAGATCCTTCTAGAAATATCGGACCAATATGTACACGAACATTCTAGATGTTTCTATAATAGAAGGTTTTGGAAACTACCTGAGGCCCTATATAAGGCCAGTATAGACCGCGACCGAGTCAATATTGAATTGGCGATATAAGCGAAAACTTCGAAGCGAAATAACTGCGATCTAAAGTGATCAGTAGTACAATTATTAGTGTGTTTTTAGATTGTAATTAGTGTTCTGTAATTAGTGTCAATTTTGGTAATTCAATCGGCAGTTTTTAATTGTCTCGAACCCCAAGCTCGTAACAATATGTCGTAGCGGCGTAAGAATATCCACTACTCTATATAGCCCCATTAGTATAGTAAAAAGCGTATAGGGAAATGGAAACAGTAGACGGGCAGCAGCACCTTCCTGATAACAACTCAAAATAACAAAAAACTGCGCTTACTAGCCCGCTTGCTCGCTAAACGTTGCAACTATGGCAAAATCAGAGGCAATTTGTGGGGAAGATCTATGTTCTTATTCTTTTTTATCTTTTTTTTTTAAACGTTACCTCCACACTAGGATTTTCCCCTGTATCGTGGGATCAGTTTACATACATTAATTTCACAAAGAGAAACATCTAGACCCGGAACAATTATGCGGGATTAGAACCCACGGCCCTTGGTGCTGCAACTTATTGCTAAGCCACTGCGCCACGGAGCGGTCATACAGTGAAACTGTTCAGCTGTGTACTTTAGATTTAAAAAATAAACATTTATTGTATCGTGAGCGAATTCAGATTTTAGAACAGAATTCATCACGCCGTACCATCCCATGGGTGTCATAAAAGGCAAATTAAGGAAATATCCCACACACCGGTCCATTTTACTTCCAATTACTATGAATAAGATGAAAATATAATATGAGTGGATAGATGTAAGAGAAGAGGGAGGCCTAGGAAAAACTGGATAGTCTGTGTCAGGGATGACACGCGTAAGAAGGGAATGAGTGAAAAGAGGACGGCTGATAGAGGAGAATGGAATGTGAAGGCATGTTATATCGGTAGCAAATAATTTAGGATAAGGTCAGGAGATGTCTCCTCCAGATCGAATTTCAGTGACAACGGCCGGTCTCAAAGGAGACTAGCCATCTGCTTAAGACAGGATTATAGTGCACGACTGTAAGGGCAAGCTCAAGTGTTCTCTCGTAGTCTGATGGGACAGGAGATGCTGAAAAAGAAATTTCAAAAGTATTTATACGGAGGCATAAAGGAGCGTCAAAGGCGTAGAACGCCTGACAAATTTGGATATTATGACTTTTTACAATGGGAGAGGCCCATATGACCTGATGCCATCTTTTCTTCCATAATAATCATTATGGAAGAAAAGATGTCTTATTTACGCAAAAATTACACACTAAATAAAACTAATTTTTACGGATTTTATCGCGTTTAATTTAACTTTTTGATTCCCGACGTTTCGGGTGCTTTACAGCGCCCATGGTCACGGGGCGGACTGAGGTGTTTGACGTCCCGATGTCATAGTTAGCCCGGCTATCTTCAGTTTTTAAAAATTAGTTTCATTTAATCTTTTATTCCATTTAAACCGCTTTATTTTTGTATAACTTACCGCATTTGAATTATGGGAATAACAATGCTATCGGAACATTCACAAAAACATCATAATGGCGAGGTACGTGAGTCATTTACTCAACTCAAGCTTGAACAGTTTCTTTGGGTAGGACGATAAGTCGATACGTCTAATCAGTGATAAGGACGTGTAGATAACCGAAACGTATATGTTGGTGGTTTTGTAAACGTAAAGTGTTTCGGCCGCCAGAAATATTTACAATATTTATTGCAGATTCTTAAATTCTAACAGATACAAAAACGGAATTTTATATTAACTAACGAAAATTTTCGAATCAAATAAATAATAGTGTCTCGTGTACAATTATACATTATTAAAATTAATACCTGTTTAAAATTATCAAATTCGATACATTATTGACGGACAGTCACACGCGACCGAAGTCGAAACTCACCTAGAGTCGCCCGTGACATATAGAGATATCGACGTCATTACCGAATTGTATGGAGAACTTAAGTAACTGAATGAATGTTGTACGGGTATTTGTTTCCAGTATATGAGTTTGAAATGTGTGAGAAGTGACTAAACGCAATGAAGTGACAACGGTCTAATATTTATCGGATTTTCCAAGTGAATAACATGCCTACAACTCGGAAAAGGATATATTGTTTCTAATGGGTAAGTGAAAAACCTTCGAAAGATTTTTTGAAGACTACAGAATTTTGAAGAGACCTTTTATTCAATCATACTCCTAAATATGGAAATTTATTGACATTTAAAAATAAATTTTGTTAAAAAATAAAAAATAAATTACAAATCGTAAAATTTCTACTAATCAACGTGTAGATATCAGAGAACTCATTTTGTGGTTCATTGTTCAATTATTTAATGCAATATTCTAGGTGTTGCTGTACAAACATTATGGACATGGCTGCTGCCAGCGATGGTGACTGCCAGGGTTCTTCCAAACCTCGGCGATGGACTGGACGAACCCATTTGCCGCACCTATACTTTAGACGAATTGCTTTACTTAGATTGCTCAGATCGTGGACTGACAGAACTACCCGACAAACTGAATTATGACGTAAGTTCTTTGACATTATTATTATCGCTTTTCATTTTTACAAAATTTTAATTTGAGACGTTTCGAGTGCTTTACAACATCGATATTTATGGAGCAGGTTCAAACCCGTAAATATTACTTTATTTTTTGCACATTTCATCAATAACCTTATTTTTCTAAAATAAATCTAACATGTAAGTCCTTTGTTATCATTTGGCAAAATAGAATATAATTTACGAAAAAAGAATTTAGTAAATAGGTATTATATGTTTATGTATGTGCTTTGTGGCATTACTTGGGGGAGGCCTATGTTCAGCAGTGGACTTGTGAAGGGCTGTAATGATGATGACGATGATGATGATACGTTACACATATAACAACTGTCTGTTTACGTCGGGGTTTAAAAATAATTAAAGTAGTTCATATTTCATCATCAGTGTTCGAGGCGAAATTTAGCGAAATGAAACATTTATGTAATCACCCATCGTAACATAATATAGATAATATTAATTATTAAGTTATGTTAAGTAAAATAATCAGTAAAATCATAGCTTATTTGTATTCGTCATTTCTATCAAACATAATATTATACTTGTCAAATCACAATTTGGTTTATAATTTATAGTAAACAGCGATACGAAACTAATATACTATTTTATATTTTTTTTATTTTTTTATTTCAGGCGCAAGCATTGCTTTTGTCGAACAACAACTTCGTGTCCTTTCCAGTGGAACTTTCGAATTTTTCTCAAGTAGAAATACTGGACTTGTCTGGAAATCGTTTAACGAGCCCTCTCCCAACCTTTTTACGAAAGTTCCAAAATCTACATACCCTAAATTTGTCTAACAACAATTACGATTCATGGCTAAGCAGCGACACTGAATACAACATTAAAAGACTAGATCTATCGAAAAATAAGATCAACAGTATCGACATAAAAGCGTTCGCTAGCATGCCGAACTTATCTATTCTAGATCTATCTGAGAACAGAATTTATGATTTGCCACCAACGGTATTTGCAGACGCTAATAATTTAGACATACTAATTTTATCCAGAAATTACTTCTCAGAAGTGCCTAACTTCCAGACTCAATCTTTGAGGAGTTTAAGTTTGAGTAACTGTCAAATTGCAAATATAAACGCCGGATCACTTACGGGAATGAGTTCTATATTGACAATCGATTTGTCCATGAACCAAATCGAGAGTTTACCTGACGGTATTGTTTCAAACACTTTACAAGAATTAGATTTAAGTTACAATGAAATAAGCGTCTTGACGGATCGCACCTTCTCCGCACTACCACATTTGGCAGTGTTAGACCTGAGAGGAAATGAATTCAGAGACGTATGGTCAACCTCACACTTCGCCTCGAACCCATATTTGAGGGAAGTTCACGTGAAGGGAAACCGATGGAGTTGCGAGGGGTTCAACGTCAACCTTTTATTGACTTATGAGTATTTGACAAAGGATCCACCGAAGATTGCGGACAGAGCGTCCCTTATCTGCTACTCGCCATCTAATGTGACACAGCTGAGTTGGCAGCAAGCTTATATATTGACGTGGCATCCAAATGAAACGTCCATGCAGTCATACACTATGATGGCAGTGTTTGTCGGTATTATAATAGGCATCGTCATAACTTCTTGTGTTTGTAGAGGATTAATGTCAATCAACAAGCCAGAAACACCGCGAGCTACCACGGAAACTAGCGGTATAAATGGCATCACTACTCAACCTAGAGTTGAAAGCGTTATCATGAGAATTCCTCTTACAGAAGATCTACCACCAAGTTACGATGAAGCGCTATTAATGCCACGTCTCAATGCATCGTTCCACTCTTTACCGGATTTCGTAGACGATGAAGATACATTCGATCGTCAATGTCGTAGGTCTAGATCGATTGGCGATCTCACCGAGCCCAGACCAAGAGTTGGAGAGAGACGCTCTATTAGACGAACAGTCGAAATACGTATAAATTGAAGTTAGTGATATTTATATATCCCTATTTTACTAAATTATTTAAATGGTTAATTTCTTTAAAAGCGCCTGGATATTTTTTTATTAAATTATTATATTATATTATATTAAATTATTATTGTACGTATTCAAAAAATGTATATACTTCAGACATTAAAAAAACTGAGGGCTGATATATTAAACATCTGATTAAAGCTACATATTAATAAAATAAAATACAACATAAACAAATTAATAATTACAGTCATGAAGCATTACTGTAATTATTTTAAGCTTCATGATTACAGTTGTATGATTAAAATGGTTCAATTCGTCGCTAACGCCGCGAACCTCAATTTTTAGGGTTCCGTAGTCAAATGGCAAAAAACGGAACCCTCATGGATTCGTCATGTCTGTCTGTCTGTCCGTCCGTATGTCACAGCCACTTTTTTCCGAAAACTATAAGAACTATGCTGTTGAAACTTGGTAAGTAGATGTATTCTGTGAACAGCATTAAGATTTTCACACAAAAATAGAAAAAAAAAACAATAAATTTTGGGGGTTCCCCATACTTAGAACTGAAACTCATAAACTTTTTTTCCATCAAACCCATACATGTGGGGTATCTATGGATAGGTCTTCAAAAATGATATAGAGGTTCCTTATATCATTATTTTCTAAACTAAATAGTTTGCGCGAGAGACTTCCAAAATGGTAAAATGTGTCTGCCCCCCCCCCCCCCTGTAACTTCGAAAATAAGATAATGATAAAGGTAAAAAAATATATGTAAACTACATGTATGATGTACATTACTATGTAAACTTCCACCGAAAATTGGTTTGAACGAGATCTAGTTAGTAGTTTTTTTTAAACGTCATAAATCGTAAATTATGTTACTTGCTGCTACGGGACCCTTCTTGGGCGAGTCCGACTCGCGCTTGGCCACTTTTTCTAAATTACAGGAGAACAAGAAAATATTTTTTTTTAATTTAGGTTCGCCCCTTTGCCACAGAATAAATAATTGTTCTACGTACCTTTGCGGCGTCAACGACGAATTGTTTTACCATTATATTTGGTCGAATTATAGTTATTTGATGGGTAACTTCTGTCCGATGACTGAAAATTCAGTCCTAGAAGAAATAAATTGGAAAACTCGGCATATTACATATTGTAAATAATTTCTTATTTTGTTTCTTTATTTTAACTGCCCATTTTTTACTTTTTATAATATTCCTGTAAATATAATTTTATGTGTAATAAACAAAAATATGCATATATGGTGTATAATAAATTTAAAATTAATTTTATGCTATTAGGGTTAATTTTATGTTAAAATATTTTAAATAGACTAGAGTAGGTATTAAAACAAATAGAAATACGAAAAAATTAAAGAGAAAATATAAAACATACGTGAGTGTCGGGAAACACTCGGTCGGAACGAAGTAGTATATTAATATTGCTAAACTTATTATAATTAATAGAATCAGGCGTTACTTTGCGGAAGTCCATTATATTAAATTTGACAAAAAATTACTTTGCGTACATGCGCTAGATAAAATAAAATGATGTGTCTTACCTAGTTTGAAGAGCACCTCCCGCCCTTCCTCAATTGCGTGCACTATCCCCGTCACCACTAATCCCAGCACAACTACTCCCAACACCACTACACTAGGAAAGACACACCACTGACGACAATACGACACGTGTTTCGCCTCTACACGAGGCATCCTCAGGTGGTATAGACTTTACGGTGGCTAACGCTCACTTAGCGGTTAGAGCTCACTTAGCTAAACTTATTATATTATTGATTAAAAAAACGTTGGAATCCTCGATTTTCAGGCGCTAGTAGAACATACCTACGCACTTTGCGCTTAAGGCATGCAATACAAATTAACGAATTACCTACTAGCGTCTATTAAAATGAAGCGCCATTTAAAATATAATTATATATCTTTCATGGCAAGATAAGAAAAAGTGCGAGGGATGGATATTATTTCATCTCGCTTCCTTATAGCCAAGGCTGTCTACACTACGTCAGAAGGGGTCGTGAAGGAAAAATCTTACACTTTTTGTCGCCTAGCCCTCATCCGCCAAATCCGTATCGTCCGATAACGAACTTCGTTCCAAAAATAAAAAGAACTAAGAGATGGTTAACATTATTTCTAATCCCGATATAGGTAATCCATCCCATTTCGTTTCGATTTTATATTTAGTTACTTTAAAATTTACTTGACTGATAACTCTTTTACTGTGTAGTGTAGTGGCGGTGTAAGAATGTCCATTACCCCATATCATCACGTGGATGTCGTAAGAGGTGACATAGGTAAACACATTAGAAGATTGGCAGCAGCGTCTTCCTAATTACTAAAACAACTACGGTTGCCAAACCGCTTGTCAAGCGTGGCAACTATAGCAAATATCCCCCCTGTGAGGAGATCTATGGGAGAGGCCTATGTTCAGGAGTGGAATAGGCTGTAACTGTAAAGGATAACTCTTACGCGATGATTGAAAAATTAGCCTTTAATAAATTTAACATAATACATAATACGGAGTTCCCCTTCCATTGATTTTGAATTTGTTTTTTAATTTCAAATTTAATAAAATAACATAAAAAGGTAGGGCATGCTGTCCATGTTTCATTTTTATTGTACGCCTTCAGACTCTAATATATATACAGTAATCTATGCTTCAACCTATGCCTTCAGCATTATTTGATAGAATGGGCGTTACTAAATTTTCGGTCGGGTATAACAAATATACCAAGTAGTACATACATACTCTGTTATTAAAATATTAACTGTTTATAAGGCTTATTTTTAATTGGGACATCTATTGGCATTTTAACGAAGTATTTCAGTTCAGTCTTTTGAACGTAAAAATGTAACAGAACCGTTGCAGAGTTTCTGTAAGATGTCACTAGATGTCTCTGAAACTTAAAATTGTCGTAATAAAATTATAATATTTTTTTATTTACACTATGTTTTCATGACATTGGGATTCATAAATACTTAAATATAAAATATATACACATATTATACCATGAGTATAAATAATATATTTATTTATTTTAAATAATGTTCAGTATCCATAGTCACAGACAAAAAATATAATATTATGTACTACAATAAAAACCTATTAAATATTCTTAAAACCGAACTGCGTATTCATTCATTTTTGGAAAATATATACCTACTTATAAAATATACTAAATAACGTATTATTTTAGCTTAAAAAGTTTAGTACTTTAACATGGCAGGGTACTTCAAACACAAGTATTTTCAACCGACTTCAAAAAAAGGACGAGGGTCTCAATTCAAATGTATTTTTGTATTTTTTTGTGTGTTACCTCAGAATTTTTTTCTAGGTGAACCGATTTTGATGATTCTTTTTATTTGAAATCTGGTGCTTCTCATGTGGTCCCACGGAGCAAATGTTTGCTCCATGTGTGGTCCCATATAAATTTAATGAGTTATCCCTAATAATGCGTATTTAATTGACTTCCGACTGCATTGATGATGTTCTCATTTTATTTATATTGAAGTCGGTTATACAAATTTTTTTATTTCACCACTTGGTATACTTAAGAGAAGTTCTCAAACTTGTACCTACTAATTTAGTAATATATTGGAAATATTATTATAATTTTGAGAAAATAATCTTATTCAAAAGCTAAAGGTTTTTTATTTGAACCAAAAAAATTACGAACTACTTCATCTTAACAGTTGAACAAAATTTAATGACAATTGATATTTAATAACGGGACTACATAGCTTAATCTACAGTTTCGCAAACTTCCTTATCACGATAACATGTGAAGCGTTTAATTTGGTTCATACAATGTTATCTTCTACTCGAAGGCACACGTGAAAAATATAGACAAAAAGTTTACACCTTCTATAGTTTCCGAACCTTTATTGACTGATAGTTTAACAGCCATTAAAATATCTTGTAAATTACATGCCACTTTTTAGCACAAAATTTATATATTAAAATGTGATGTGTTTGTGGTAAATCGGACTAAGTATCTTTCTTGATGATAAGGTGTGTCACCTTTTATATAATATCGAATGGTTTGTCATCGCAATATATGTATATCCAACGTATACTGGTAAGTAAAGGTCTCTAATAAATTATATACCAATCATTAGAAACACATTAAAGAAATTTAACAAAATAATATACCTAATTATCATTTGCAAACCTCAGTTTTTAGTCCAAAGAAGGTACAAAGAAGAACATCCTTAATTAATAAATAAAACTGGAAATTAATAAATTATAATCTCATAAATAGGTAATTTGTAATGTTACAATAATGAATGTTAGTTGCAGATACTAATAGTACCTACACAAAATGTCGTACAATAATGATCCTTGATCTGCAGAATTACCTGAAAATCTTTTTTGCAGTTTTAGTAGGAGGTATGTGTACATACACGAAATCGACCTAAATTAGGTAGACTACAACCTTATCAAATGTAGATAACAAAGATAAAATTGTTGTGTTGATATTTATTTTGTTCTCTCAACAATGTTAAGTGGACCTGTACCTAGAAATTAAGGTCGAACTAAACGTTTTGGTAAACCAAACGTGACAGGAAAGCGAGAAACAAAATATAACGCAGGTGTGCCAGTACCCAGTAATACAAAGTTAATTTGGCATTGGTTATAATGTTTTGATGTCATAAATTTTCCAGGTAGTTATGACAAACAGGCGGGATGTTTATACTACGAAAACTTCTGTTCCTCGTGATAGTAGCAAATGCAGAAATATCGGACGTCGATAACAGTGATAGAAATTACGTGTGCTACGTATGTGCGTGTAGCGCCGACAGGAGAATTGTTGACTGTTCTAAAAGAAGCTTAACAAATATTCCCGATGGTATCAGTGAAAAGGTAAATTCTTATTCATTGAACGATATTGTACAAAATTATTATCATTAAATATCAGCTAATACTATTTTCTCCGTGGTGATGTCGTCGAGGCCGGTTCCAACCACCGTCAAGACTTATGAATGGAGTCGGAAAATTTCAACTACGTAGGAGATGTTACCATTATCGCTCTTTGCCCTAAGCTTATGTAATAAGATGGAATGCAGATTACAGGGGGCATTAAAGGTCCAATCACAAGAGAATGAGACACAAACCAACAGCGTGTTTTGTGCAAACGTTTGCTCTATCTGCATGCATTCGAAAACAAGGTACAAGCAGTCCATTTCTTCTTCTCCATAACTTCTTTATAAATTGTATAAACTTAATAAAATACAGGACTTTCCATTGTCAAAGCCACCTCGTATCAAAAATTTTGGTATATCATTTTAAAGGTAGGTACAGCATATAATTACCTGCGCGAGCCGTCAAGATGAGATTATCTTCCTGCTCCTTAGATTTTCTTCATAGAATAAGGGCGACAAACGAGCTCACAATCCACCTGATGGTAAGTGCCCTATAGACATTTATATTTATTCTCAATTAAAAATCAAAATGCAGATGCGTTGTCACCTGTTGGAATAAGATGGAATGCCTCGTTTCCAGTTTTTTTTATAGGATAAGGGTGACAAACGAGCACATAGTCCACCTGATGGTAAGTGGTTGCTGCGGCCCATAGACTTCTACATCTATCCTCCATTACAAATCAAAATGTAGATGCGTTGTCACCCGTGAGGACCAAGATGGAATGCCTCATTTCCAGTAAAAAGGGCCTCCGGCCACCTGCACTCACCAAGCGAAACGCAGAGGTAAACCTCTACTTCACGCTGGTTTTCTGTGAGGTCGTGGTACCACCCCGGTTCGAGCCGGCCCATCCGTGCGACAGCAAAAGCTGCCGCGTGGCTCTACCACTGATAAAATGATCCAGTAAAAGGGTTCTCCGGTTCTCTACGCTCACCATACGAAACACAGCAACATTTAGTTGCTATTTTAGGCTTGTATTCTGTGAGAGCGTGGTCCTACCTCGGTTGCGCTACATCCATAATATAGCTGCAGGATGGCTCTACCGCGTACAGAATAAATACGATACGAACGTAGATCAGAATACAAACTGAAATGCATAAAATATTCATTGCAAAACCTTCAAATAAATAAACACCGTCCAATGAGAATAAACATAAACAAGTAGATTTCTGCCACCAATTATCAGTGCGTGCACTGCTGTATGCCGATCTAAGTTGTACAAGGAGTCAGTGTAATTACAGACTATGAGGCATGCTATCTTCTTTCTTCCATTCTTTATGTTCTCAAAGGTGACAAGTCATCTGTGCCCTTATTTGTTTGAAGTGGTCTGCAGGTGTCCACGGGCTGCAGTAGCCACTTACCGTCAGCTGAACTGTAAGTTCACATGTCACATAAATTCTAAAAAATGCAGAACAGAGAAAGCATTGTACAACGCCGATTAATCCATGAACCTGTTAGTAATTATCTTGCGAAAGTATTTTTTCGAAAGTAATCGTCGGATATTTCTAAAGAATTTGATTTAAATTCACTAAACCTTATAATGTAGTACTTTAGGTTGTTTTCTACCGACTTCAAAAAGGAGACGGTACTCAATTCGACTGTATGTTTTTTTTTATGTGTGTTACCTCATTACTTTTTTCTGGGTAAACCGATTTTAACGATTTTTTTTTATTTGAAAGCTGGTGCTTCTCATGTGGTCCTATATAAATTTGGTCTGACCTATAGCTTTTAAGTTATTTTTAATAATTTATATTGAAAACGGTTGTACAAAATTTTAAATTTTAAATTATTCTTATTTACTAATAAAGATTTAGAGCACATCATTGAGTAGGACAAGTCTCATAGCCTGGAAATCAATTCCAAAAAAAAAAACGCGAGTGATAGTTGTAGGTAGCTCAAGGATGACCAAAACTCGAGAATTTTTATAGATCAGCCTGTAGACCTCATCTAGCAATGATAAGCCAAAAGACCTATTAGACAGCTGCTTCTCTGAAACGGCTACGAAACTTCCATTCCACCACAATTGCGATCACAAAATCATTGTTAAGTACTACCCATTCTCGTCTCGACTATACCAACGTCAGTTATTTTGACGTTTCATATTGATATACACAAATATGATCACGTTTCCAAATAACGCTAATATTAAATAAAATAATAATATTGATTACCTATTTGCCTTCGTCGGAATGCATACACCCTTTTTCTTTTCTATATCATACATTTTATTTACCTTAAGGAACAATTTAAGTATTTTTTACCTTTTATGTTAGGATCACGCAGCACAAATGGGTCGGCTCGACCGGGGTAAGACCACGCTCTCAGAGAATACCAGAAACAAAATAGCCGCTTAATGCTGTTGTGTTTCGTATGATGAGTGTATAGCAACGGAGAGCCTTTTTTACTGGAAAAGAGGCATTACATCTTAGTCCTCAGGAGTGACAACGCATCTGCATTTTAATTCTTAATCGAGGATATAAAAATAACCCCTCAAATCCCCCGTCATTTATGGCTTAAACTAAGTGTAGTCAATCGCTCTTTGCTAAAATTAAGTCTTGTAAAGTTCCAATACTTATTAAAATAATAATTACCACTGTGAAAATCAGAAAGCACCTTTGAAATAATTATCAACCACGGTAACTTAAAGTGCTGAACTAAGTCACGGATAATCATTATTGCCCATCACTAGTTCAATACTGTGGCCCAGAAATCTACATCTATCATCGATTAAGAATCAAAATGCGTTTATGTTTGCGTTATCACTCCTGACGATTAAGATGATAAAAAAGGTCTCAGCATTAAGAATCAAAATACAGATGCGTTATCACCTCTGTGGACTAAGATGGAATGCCTCGTATCTAGTAAAAATGATCTCCCGTCTGTCACTCACTATAAGAAACAAAGCAGAATTAAGCTTCTATTTCACGCTGGTATTCTGTGAGGGCGTAGTGCTTGCCCGGTCGAGCCAACCCATTCATGCTACAACCATAATATACTGCAGCATGTCTATTCTACTTAAAAATGTAAGGATAACGTTTTTTTCTAATACAAAAATAGTTCATGACAATACTAAGGACGCTCGAAGTAAAACTAAATAAAGTGACGACCTGTGGTGAACATGTAATGATTCAATGGATGCGAAGAGTTCAACTCAAGACAGTGTTTTATTGCAATCTGTATGAAAGGTCTATCAGTAGTAGACTTGTAATAGATTGTAAGAAATATGATATAAAAATATAAAGGCCTAAGTACATTCCTTTTCGGTCCACAAACCCCGTTTCGTTTCTGAGAGGATTTAAAAAGTAGGAAAGAGTTGGCCGCACTGCTCCAAATACTAATAAGACGTAGTAAAGTATCCTCAAAATGTTATTCATTTCTCAAACTTGCAAGCTACGTGCGAGCAAGCGTGCGTTGCGTGCGTGCGAGTAAGCGTGAATCTGGACTTGAAATTGCAACTAACTATTTCAGTGCTACTGGTTTTAAATTTACAGCGAGCGCTTAGACCAGGCAGCCTGAACTACCACGGCTCTATGTAAAACTTGTACGACATTAAAAAGTATAATTACAACTTTTATACCTCCCGCTTCTGAGTACTTGCCTCCTCTTATTTTTGTGAAAATTAATTTCCAGTGTGTGTGTGTGTGTGTGTGTGCAAGACTCTACATGTACTTGAAATACTTTCTACCTCAGACATGTACGTTTTCTCGCGATGTTTTACATTATCGCATAGCAAGTGGTAAAGCAGCAGTTAAAGTTGCAAATAATAATTTCATTGGTGCGAGCGGGATCGAACCCAGGTTGCTCGCGTACTGTGAAAATTCACAGCGAGCTCTTAGAACTTGAGCTATCACGGTTGAAAATCTATAATATTTTATACTAATGTGAGATCTCTTATTTTCAGGTGACGAATCTCAACGTGTCAAACAACGAGATTTTGCTTTTTCCCCAAAATTTAAATAAACTCGTTAATCTAATATCACTCGATCTTAGTGGCAATCAAATAAGTCATATGCCGGAGAATGCTCTTGAAAATCTAACTTCACTTGAACTCTTGAACTTATCGCGAAACAACTTTGATACGTGGATGAACTTAAATCCTAACGACGTACTACAAACAGCAACAAACTTGAAGATTCTCGACCTGTCATATAATAAATTTCAAACTTTAGAAAATTTAGCAAATCAGGAGCTTTTAATAAGTTCCTCTCTAGAAACATTGATTTTGGATAATTGTGAAATAACTTCAATACATGGTCGATCACCACTAAGTGGTTTAATAAATATACGGGTGCTCAAAATTAACTTCAATCCATTGTCGAGGATTCAAGGTCTTGTTTCGCCAACATTAAAAAGTCTTTATGTTAGTAACTGTCAACTTAGTTCTATTAACCAAAATGAACTATCATATTTACCTTCGCTAGTATACTTACAACTTTCCTATAATTATGATTTAATTTTACCTATTTCTTCAACCAGCCCAGTGTCGATTTCACTGAGATATTTAGATATTTCATTTTGTAACATCATGCAAATAAATCTTGCGGGATTTCCTAATCTAAGAAAAGCTCTTTTAAGCCATAATGTGATAAGGTACTTAGAGAGCAACAATTTTATTAACAACTCTAAATTAGAGTATTTGGATTTATCTTATAATAATATCGGCTCTCTTAAAAGCGATACGTTCCGTGGACTCGGTATCCTAAAATATTTAGACCTGTCATGGAATGAAATTGCAAACATACCAGAAAACAGTTTACTGCAGATGCCTTCACTAACACATTTAAAACTACGCAGAAACTATCTAACGAGGGTTGGACATCTAAAGTCAACATCCGTCGCTATTCTAGATATGAGTTACTGTGAAATTAATACTATTGGTAAGGATTCTTTGGAAGACTGGCAATCACTAGTAGATCTAGACTTATCGCATAATTTACTGTCTAACATTCCAGACAGTATTTCGTCAAATACGTTAAAGTATTTAAATTTAAACTATAATAGAATAAGTGCCGTAAGTAACAACACATTCTTCATGTTACCAAGATTAACAGGATTGGGTGTGATAGGAAACCGATTTACGGCAATATGGAGTAAATCATACTTTGATTTCAATCCTTATTTAGAGAGACTGGATCTAGGGGATAATATGTGGCGATGTGATTGTGCTGATGGTAACATGTTTGACTTTTATGAATTTGTTACATTAGAACCTAATAAAAAAGAAGAATCATATAATCTTATTTGCAATAGTCCTGTAAATTTGGTTGGACAAACGTGGTTAGAAGCCTGTTATTTCACCTGGAATCCAAGTGATAAGGTAGCAAATGCAGATAGTTTACTTTGGTTTTTAGTAATAATGATTGTAGGTTTAGCATTATGTTTATTGTTAGTGAATGGAATAAGGAGATCCATGAATCGCCGGTTAGCATCTATGCAAGCAGAGAGAGAAAGACAAGTTGAAGAAGCTAGAGAAAGATTGAGACAATTGAGAATGCGTGCTGAACAAGAAGCATTGTGCAACACTCCTGATCCACGAGATCTAGTGGCTCCACCTTCTTATGATGAGGCTCTTTCTATGCCTAAACTTAACATATCATGTCAGTCATTATGCGAAGAAGGTACAGGTAAAAAGGGAAGAAGAAAAGGAAGGCGAAAAACAAAATCAAGTGGAGATTTGTTGGAAGAAACTGAAAGAAATGGTGATTTGCCTACCGTAGATGACTTCGAATTGACCGAAACATCTGACACTAATCGCCGAAGACGTCGGCGACGCCCACGAAAATTTGGAAGCCATGAGATAGCAGAGTTGGATCAGTCTCCAGGCGTGAGTCGTAGACGAATGTCTGAGTATGGTGCAATTGGTGATGATAGTGTGACTATTGAAGTTGAGGCGGAGCTGGAACGTCCTCTTCGATCCAGAAATAGAAGGTGTTCAATAGATGATGATGAACCACGGGAAAGTGACTTTTAAATTTTGGCAGGAATTGTATTTTAAAACTTAAACGTTAAAAACAGCTAGATATAAATATTATTAACATAATTTTATTATTATTTATTTATCATAACATACGAGTTTAGTAATTAAAGACTACTTTCAATGTAAGTTTTCAATTTATATAAATAATTAAAATATTTAACTTTGTATTCTAATTTGTTAACGAGTGTTGAGAATCCATCAACCGTCGAAAGGACTTTGAGAAAGCTGGAGAAATTGTTATGATTTCGATAAATGGTGGTATAATCACCTCGTACTTAAACAGGTAACAAATAACCATGCCTGATACAGAAAGAAGTGTCTGGTTCTGCCATCAAGTTTGACGATTAATGTGAACTTATATAGAAATATCACTTTTATAAAGGAGGCCCATTTCAAACTGTGTTGACTGTTTGTGTGCTTAAAAAGAAGTTTTACGTGTAATGAAAAATCAAATTCAGGTCACCTTTGCCAGTAAAGTAAAATTAAAAACTGTTTCCATTTTGTTCCATATATAATGATTTAGGGTGTTATATGTAGTATTTTTTATCCTTTGGTAGTGGACTGGTACGGTTGCACTTTTACCAAACTCAAGTAAGAAGAAGGTATCAAACCATTATAAACAATAGTTTGTTTAAAAACTCTTTCACAATATAATGATGCACCGCATTGCGAAGTTTTTGAGAGATTTTGATTGCAGCTTGAGCCAGGAGACGGTTGACGATGATAGTATCTCAAGGCGCCTAACAGATAAAATAACTTGGCTTACAACATCATCAGAACACATGTTTCATCATTTCTACTAATAGCTTACATACGCTGACATTTATGGGTACACAAAATCGCACCACTTTACTTATCACAATCCACTTTTAAACATTATTTAAATAATCAAGTTCCCCCGAAGCTTCCAGTAATATTTTCGTGATCCTTTTTTAAGTACGGCTTCTAGCAAGTACTTATAATAATACAGTTTCCAGTCCACAAGACCTTATTTCAAAGCGAGCTCCTGTTATAGAATCCTGACTACTAGCACAGAGCGCTTCTTTCGAAGCTCCCTTCCCGAGGGCTTCCCGAGAAATTGTGCTAGTGCATCACCAGTTTTCTTGCAGATCCGAGCATCAAGGTCGTAGTAGACGGTGCATGTTCCGATGACAAGACTATTAATGCTGGTGTTCCACAAGAATGCGTGCTGTCACCAACGCTGTTTCTTCTGTTTATCAATGATATGTTGTAAGCTGGTAACATTCATTGCTATGCACACAACAGCACTGGTGATGCTTTATACACCCGTATTTCTCGGGAAAACGTCGCCGAGTAATGGTAACAAACTTGTGTCCGAAGTCGAGTTTTTGTTTAACAAAGTCTCGGATTGGGGGCGACTAAATCTAGTCCAGTTCAATTCCCAGAAGACACAAGCTTGCGATCGATGCGTAGATGCGATCTGCCACGAATAGACACTAAAGATGACGTGACGCAGAGTTCCATTCCATAAACACCACATCAGCAACGAACTCTGCAACGGTGTTGACATATTATTAGGGAGCAAAAGAAACCCTTATCCCATCCCAATACGTTGATTCATAGTGACACACGGCGGCAGCCTACTGCTCACATCTACAATAAGCACGTGATGGCACCGTACTCCAAATCAGGCAGTGCTGCAAAGAGCTAAATGAGCATGGATATTCGGTTCAGATGGTTAATTTTATATGAAGTAAAAAATATAATAAATGTTTGATGGTGGCTTTAGAGAACCCTTCACCATCTATCCCACCAACCAACCCATCACCCTATCGTCGTGCCGATGTCGTAAAAATCGACTAAGGGATATGCTAAAAAGATATAGTAGATTTAAATAGATGATGGTATTACCATATCGTTTCATGTCAGGTCAGGCACAAATATGGCGACCATATATATTTATCTATGATGGCGACTGCTCCTTGCGTTTGCGCGTGTTTGTAGTTTTCGTCCCATGTTTGTGCTTTTCTTCGTGAAATTAATCTACTGATCCACGTTAAGTTGAGTCCTTTCTGTGTGAGTTGAGCTTTTAGTTCCTCCGCTATTCTAGTGCAACAGTTTTTTTGCGACCTGGACGCTTTGTTTGTGCTGTTTCTTTGCGATATAGACGTTTGTGATTTGTTTGTATCATGCCTAAACGGTGTGCATTGGGATGTTCAAACAGTAAGTATAATCATAATTCTATCTCTGCCATCCCGGCTCCTCCATAGATTTCCCTTAGATTATTTACTCTCTAGATAACGCGTCACGCAATGAGCGATGCAACAAAAACAGGCCAGTTTTACAAGCGTGTGGCACCAAACACGCTTAGCGGTTACTATGGTGACAGAATAAATGGTACGAGTTTCCATTGACGTCCGTCGAGTTTGGTATTGATACGTACTTTTACAGAAAGATTACATTTTTATAAGCACACACACAAAGTTTCAATATGCGGAAACACGTACTTTTTGAGAAAAAAAAATATTGAACATCAAATATTTTTGCAATATTTATGTCAATTCCTACTGTGAAACTGACGCCATTTTTTATTATTATTGTCAGTAGGGATGTCAATTGTTTCCGAAAAAGATCGATTTTTTAAATAGATTCGATTTGAAAGCTGATGTATCGATTCCCGAAAAATCGATTTCTAAAATATCTATATTTTTTCATGTTTGCATTTATAATGTAAATATAAATCCATTTTATGAGAAAAAAATTCCCTTCAAATTAAAAAAATAAGGGGACTGATTCAGAAGGATTTCTGTATCTATTTTGAGACTGCTACGTCTCCGGCGCTGCGGGAAGAGCAGCCTCTACGCCTTAGCGTAACAAATTGTAGGCAGCGGACGAGCCGGAGCGGCTGAGGCTGGTCGCCGAAGCCGACCAACAAGCCGAAGCTGCAGAGGCAAGGAGGCAGCAGGCGGAGGCTGCTCCCCCTACGCGCCTCCGGCTCTATAAAACCACTCTAGGGGTAGGACAGACTCGTACCAGGTGGAGTCGGGGTCAATCAATTCGGTTCTTTGACATAAGTTGAACCTAACCTATTTTATTTGTTATCTGCCCTAATAGGTACTGTTAAAATATCTTTATAGTATCTTTCTTGTTTTTCATAAAATGGGTTTATATTTACATTATAAAAGCAAACATTAAAAAAATATAGATATTTTAGAAATCGATTTTTTGTGAACCGATACATCAACTTACGATTTGAATCGATTTAAAAATCGACTTTTGGAAAGAATCGACATCCCTATTGACGTCGACGATGACATTACAAATTGGCGCCAGTTTTACGATAGGATTAGACGTTGCAAGAATAATTGATTTTATATAAAAAAATTCTCAAAAATTACGCGTTTCCGCATGTTGAAACTTTGTGTGTGTGCTTATAATAGTGTAACATTTCTGTAAAAATACGTATCAACACCCAACTCGACGGACGTCAATGGAAAGCTAAGCCGAATAAATAACTATGACTTACGCCAGCGTCATTTGTATCTGGGAGATATCAGCTAATGAATCTATCCCGATAAAATGGGGAAAAACTGTAAAATTGTCATATTAATAAATTCATAAATTATAATGTTTTAATATGGTACTTTCACTTTTGTGTTTAGTTGTTTGTTGAGATCTATTTTTTTTTGTAAAAAAAAATATAATCAAATAAAAACCAATTACACATTTACAAAATATGTTTTATTATTTAATGTATGATATCGACTTATAAAAATACAAGAGGTTGGCCGGCGGCTTCGCCCGCGTCATAGTTAAATAATTTATCCCGCGGGTACCCTTTACCGTAAAATTTTATCCCATAGCGTTTCTACAGTTTAATAGATCATTTTGGGAAGAATTATTCCATCTTGCATTGTTGTGCCAGCAAGAGTTGATATATGGGTGCCCCATTGAAGCTTTGCATCTAAGGTCAACCGCAGGAGCACAGTAGTCTCTTCTATTTTCAACCTATCTTTACCATTAAATGTTTTTAACTACTAATTTAATGACCCTCTCTTTGAATTTGTTTTTTAAATAATTTGCGTTTTGAGGTTGCATCCTTTTTTAAATTACCTAATTTAGCTATATGATAATAGCGTATGGTCAAATATTTTTCGACGACCAAACTTATTAGGTTCACTTGGTGAAGAGAACCACACAAGTCTTTTTCACGGAAATGTTCAGAGCATATCACTGTGGTTTTGGATGGTTTCCAGTACTCTTCTCTACGGCTTTTTCTTATTATGTCCACTCATCGACTTCTAATTATAGGATCAATAGGTATCCTAAAATCATGTATTCAAATGGTCACATTCAGTTTTGACAATTATTATACAATACTATTTAGTAATACAAATAAAAAAGAGAAAAAAATAAAGAAAAAATATTTAAGACTAAATAAAAAACACCCGAAAGCTTGCAAAACAAAAACAATCGGTCCATCCGTTTAGGCTGTAAGCCAAACAATTTTTGGTGCAGTCGGGTAAAAATGAACATACATCTATACAAGACAACTATACGGGGAAATTCTCAATCCAAGACTGGCAACACCAAAAAATGGCTGCTTGATTTTGTAAATTAAATTATCAATTTATTAGTTTTGTTTTCCTAAATTACTATTAGTTTTGAGTTACTTAGCGATGGTAGGAGATTTTGTTAGTTGTTTGTAAACGTCCTTTATAATTTCTGCAGAATTTAATCGCACATCTTGTCATTTTTACCAAAATAATTTACCTCTAAAAATGAGCCGTGTGTGCGTATCTCTTGGCGTTACAATTGACAGTGAGGAGCGGGGATTGTTTTAGAGGCTAACAATTAGCTGATATTTTTTTCGACGCTTTTGAGCCGCCGTTACTCTATAGAGAGTAAATAATCTATGAGATTTCCATAGTGCCCGGTGAACTTCAACTTACATGCTGGTCCTAGGTATTAGGTAAACAGGATAATATTTACATTATAGATGGACCACTGCAGTTATCCGTGTTTATTTTTAT